CAGAAGGTTTAACTTAGCTTATCTCTTTTTGTTGTTGATTTGGGTTTTTGGGATTTGGGGTAAGGTACGATTCCGCCGCCGGGGAGGTGGGAGTGTTAGGGTTAGAGAAAGGGGAATAGGGATGTGCGTGAGAGAGAGGGAATAACGTTGCTGTAAAAACAAGAAGAAGCAATGAATAAAATGTTAAAACAAAATTGGCTATCCGTCTCAATCGCATGCACCGCGCCTACGATACTTATCATGCTCCCTCAATTCCATCCCTTTGATTATCATTAGACGGCCATAGGCCAAGTCTCCACCATAAGCCCATGTACCATCGCACACTCAATCAGCCAGACCCTCAACATTTCCGTTTGGGCTAAGCCTGTTTGGGTTTCACACCCTCCTTCTGCCTAAACTACTAAACCACAAAACAGTTCATACCTCCCATGCCAACCTGCATATTTGGGCCAACCCATACTTTTTTCAACACTCCCCCTGTTTTACTTAATAACTAGATAATACACCACCCTGAATTTAACTATATATTTTCTTTATTTTTATATAATTCTTATGATTTCTATTTTTTTGTTTATAATTATTATATTTTAATTCTTATGTTATTATTATAATTGTTCTTTTTTTTATATAATAATAATTATTATTAGTAATATTAATTTTTATTATTATTATTTATTATTATTTATTATTTTTATTATTTATTTTCATAAACAAATTATTTTTTATTTGAAACTCATGTACATATATTATTTTCTTATATTATTTGCATTCAAATATTTTTATATCATGCATTAATCAAGAATTTTTGCAGTTAATACGATTAAAAAACACTCAACAAACAACAAATTATTTTTTCGCAATCAACTAATCTAATCAACTATTTTTGCAAAAGGGTTTCAAACAAATTTTGACTAACCGCGCATTTAGCCAAAATCTCCATAATCACTACTCCCGGTCAAAATGCGAGGTGATTCAAAATACGTTTGCGACCCCTAAAAAACACCATCCCCACACGAACTACGAATTGAGACTCTGATTCCTCATAAGAGGATACGTAGGCATACGATCAAAAATCGTAGCGAGTTCCCCTATAAAAAAATTAAACCCTTTCCCTATAAAAAATTTAAATCCTGTTTCTCCAACTCAAACCTAAAACCTAGTATCCTTGTGAACAAGGTAGATGAAAGGTGTCTAGCACCTTCCTTTCGTCTAAAGAAGTCCGAAACCTAGAATCTGTCTGTGAATTAGGATTTTCTGTTAGATTCTTTTCCCTAAGATAAAAACTATTAGTGGCGGCTCTAATTAAGAAACTAGTCGCAACATACAGATTTTACAATTTGAATGAGAGTCTAATAATCGACTTCATCTCCTATAAACAACAATCTTAAAATTAAAATTGAAATATATGTCTCCTACAATCATTTGGAGCATCTAAATTTTAAAAATTGTAATTAATATGTTTATATTAAGATTATTTTTATTGATTTTTATTTTATTTTGTTTAATTTCCTTTCTCTTTCTTCACAATTCTAAAATGGTATTACTTATGTTTTTTTCTGATATAAATTCTTTTTTTCTTTCTATGATATAAATTCTAATTATTATTTTGATATAAGTTATTTTTCTTTAGGCTTTATGCCATCCTTATATCTAAAAAAATGTAAGATTTGATTTTTATTTTAATTATTATAACGTTTTGTTTTTTATTTCTTTTTAACTTGTGATCAATAATAATCTATGAATCTACGTTCTTATTCAACAATTAATAATTTATTAAAAAATTAAAATCAACTTCTCACTATTTGTGATTATTTATCAATTCAAATTGTAATTCCAAAAAATTGAAACTCCATTTTACAATATTAATGATAATATTTTAACTTTGTAGTTAGTATCAAGTTCTAATTTAAAAAATGGAGTCTCAACTTCTCATTATTTACTAATTATCTATTAATTCAAATTCTAAATCTATAATTAATGACTATTAGAAATTTTAAAATTATATTTTTTACTTATTATTGATAGAAATTTTAATTATTTAAATAACAATCAATCAATTATTCTTTTGAATAAAAATAAATTAAACAAAATCATAAATTGACCCATAGAACTGCTATTTTATATATTATTCATATATTAAAATTATTAAATTTTTAAAATACAAATAATTGATAAAATTTAATATAGTTTTTATATTATTTACAATTACATCAATCTTTTTTATTACTCCTTAAAATTTAATATATTCTCAAATATTATAATAAACTAATATATAATAATTATTCAAATAAATTTATTAAAAAAATCCTATAAGCATAACCAATTGATCATCTATATTATTCCTAAAATTCAACCTTTTCTCAAAGATTAATTAAAACTCTTAAAAGGAGTTCGAACAAGGAATACAAAAATGCTTGCATAGTGTTATTAATCTACCACCTATATAGGTCTGACACAAAAAATTAATTTGGGGACCCATCATTAGTCATCATTGCTTGCAAAGAGAAAGGCATCAGGTTATATTTCTACACCATATAAGTTGTAAAAAGCTTTGCTAGCTAACATATTCTATTTGTTTCTTTTTAGCTGTTGTTTCAAGTTTTTGTAATTTATTTTAATTTATTTTTTTAAAAGCTCAAACTAATATTATTTTTAATTATTTATTGAAATATAGATAAATGATTAATTTAATTAGATAGTAATAAATAATTAAATATTTTTTATTTTTTATTAATAATAGCCAAAGGTATTGTTTTTTAGCATGTACAAAAATGATAGTTTAAAAAGAAAAGAGATAATATATCTATTATAATTTCATCTTGTTTGTAGCATAAATTTGAAATTGAAATTAATGAAGAGATAATCTAATCTCTTCATTTTATTTTTTATTTGTAAAAGATGTGTTCTATAAGCAAAGCATAATCTCATGCACAAAAATTCTCATAGACTCAAACTCTTAACAAATAAAAGAGAACTTATGCTTTGCACCAGAATCAAAGTAAACCAACAAGAGATGAGAGAATAAGAAAAAGTTTCAAAAGCTTCACTACCACAATTTGTAAACTTTTCATGCATTGATACCTACAAAAACCCCTGATAATGATCCATCTTATTGCATCCCTTTCCATCATTTTTGTTGCTATAGTCATTTTCTCATATTGATCCTAAATTCAAATGGCTACCTTAACTCATGCATCGGTTATGCTATGTTTCTTGGTTTTGATGCATAAGGGTGATTCCTATGAGTTTGTTGTTGGAGGCCAAAAGGGTTGGAGTGTTCCAAGTGACCCTAATGCTAACCCTTTCAATCAATGGGCAGAAAAGAGTAGGTTTCAAGTAGGAGACTCTCTAGGTGAGTTATTTTCCGAGCCGTTTTTGATGGCATGTAAGACGGACTACTGTACATAACTTAAAATTTATCGCAATTAAACTGTGATTAAATATGGCCTCATAAAATATTTATCATAGTTAAATCGTAGTTAAATAAGATCTATATTTGTTTTTATCAAAGTTAAATTGCGGCTAATCTACACAAAATCTTCAAAAAGTTTAGACGGTTCTGACTATTGAGTAATAATTCTATATTGGATTTCATTGTTCTCATAATAGTTTTCCCTTATTTTTGTTTTTATTGAAGAAGTTGTGCACTAATATTTTAACTTGCACACATTTGAATTGCAGTGTTCAATTACCAATCTGGCAAAGAGTCAGTAATTGAAGTAAACAGCCAACAAGACTATGAGAATTGCAACACTGATGCATCATCTTCTGGAAAATCCTCTGATGGTCACACAGTAATCAAACTCGACAAATCCGGTCCTCACTACTTTATAAGTGGAAACAAAGATAACTGTCTCAAGAATGAGAAACTATTGGTGATTGTTCTTGCTGACAGAACCAACAGAAACTCAAACCAAACAGCAACAACTCCTTCTCCTTCTCCTTCTCTTCCTGTTTCTCCTTCTCTTTCTCCTTCTCCATTATCCTCGCACACGTCAGATGCATTGGCTCCTTCACTACCACCTTCTCAGCTAAATGTTTCGTCTCCTCCACCACCTTCTCAGCTAGATGGTTCATCTCCACCACCTCTTCAGCAAGTAGGCTCAGCTCCACCGCTAGGGACTGATGTGACAAATCCTACTACTCCAACTACATCTCCTGTTTCTGAACCTCCTCCTCCTAATGCTGCTTCTTCAATCTTGCTTAGCTTTGGCTGTTCTGTTGGAGCACTCATGGTTTCACTTCTGGTTTCTTCCAAGTGAAAAGTATGAGTGGTTGAGTATGATTTCTGTAATTTATTTATTTTTTCTTCTTATGAAACCGTTTGATATTTGTTTATGAGGGGAAGTGATAAATAAGGCGGTAATATATAGTTATGTACCCTTTTGTGTGCTTCTTACCAGATGGATTGTAATAATTTGAACTTGGAATAAATAAACCCATTTTATGACAACTTATAGACCTCTTCCTTTCAAATACACCCAAAAATCTATAGTCACAAGTGAAACCAACAAATGTTGATTTTCAATGTGCATATATAAACACAAACGTTGAGTTAAAGTATTTATGGTATAGTATCTCACATAATATGTTATTATTGTAGAAGTCATTGCTGTCGATGGCATATGATAAATGGCCAAAAATCTGCCATATAAACATTCCATTGCAGACTATGGCGCCACCATGGTGGGCATTCCTTCACAAATGGCCTATGACGGCTGTCTAAAAATCCGCCACGCCATTTCACCATGACGTCGCCGTTTAACGGCACTGGTATAAGTTCTCGATTATTCTATTCACTAAAATGCTACCAAGCATAAAAATGTGCTGGTGCTTGCTGCAATCCATGGCATGATCATTTTACCAAATGAAGAGAAAAATTACATTTTTATGATTCATGTATAGAGCATCTATAGATAACAATCTGCCGAAAGACCTGCTCATTGAAGTGCGTTTAGTGAATCAAAAGCCCTAACCTAGATAAAATATCCGACTATCTATCAAAAATTCTTGCCCAGCTCAACTTTTCTCATTATCCTAACAGTGTTGTAAAAAATTGATTCCACAATTCCAGCTACCTGAAACCACAAGGAAGATTAGTCAACAAAACAAATAGTGAACAATATAATTATAGGATCACGACTCAATAGAAGATGAAAGTATAGAGCCACAATATCTAAGATACAAACCGTGAAAACACCCCCAATAATAGCACAGACGTTTGTAATAAAATGTGAAAATGACTTCTGATGTTCAGTTATCAAGACCTGCTCGCAAAAAACACAGTAAATTAACAAGAAACTTAAAAGAGAGCAGAAAGTCATTGAAACTGATAATCTCCATTTGCAGACCTGCATGGGGGAAAGTTCAAGATGGAACCTCGCAACAGGAATGTGTAAACTGTGTGCCACACTGCTGTGTGCTGTGTACTCGTACTCCTCAACTAATTGATAGTCTTTTTTAGTAATCACTTCTGTTTTAACTATCTGAAGGTAATGCTCCATCTGCACGCATAGAAGTCAAATTAATATGCAGTACTTTGACGGAAATGAAACTCCAAGCACTAGAGATGCTAATCTTTCTCTAGTTATCGGCATTGATACAGAAAAGCATAACTATTGTCAAAGCCATTAAATGATAACAGAGATTGTATTTGTGATGTTCGAAATTCTGCGTTTTTTGACAGTCTTCCCTTAGCTGAGTTATAGGGGTAATTGGGTAGCCTAACTGTGGCATTTGAATTGTATTCATTGCAAGTTCCAACACATTCATTGTGTTGGGTGTGGAAGGGTGGATTTAGTCCTACATTGCCTAGAGATATGGCCTTTGTAGTGTTTATAAAGTTTTGGCCACTCTTACCTTATAAACCAGTTTTGTAAGATTGAGTTAGGCCCAATCCAAATTCGTAGAAGTGATAAGTTATCTCAGAGGATACTAACACTTAAATAGTGCCAACCCAAACATATTTAGATCCAAAAAGCTTGCATATTTTAAATAGTGCAACTATAGGTTGAAAAGTTTCAAGATTGAAGTCTGAAGACTAAGCGAGGTCTTTTATGATCTAACTTCCACATGCATAGGGAGCAAAGCTTTTGATTTCTAAGCTCTGGTTACTGTAGAAGGGACTCTAATGTATCACAATTATTTTCCAACTTAATTAACTCTGGCATGTGGTATTCATTTCGAAGAAAGATTTAGAGGTCTATTATAGCCTCCAAAAATAAATAAAACATCATCTGGCCCTGTATATTGATGCCATCTATTACATCTCACTCTTGTAGATGCAGGTCAATAAAACCTGCCATTAACAATAAATATTCCTGATGCCAACCATAAAAAGTGACATGCTCAATCAAAGAAAATTACTAAATTAGGAGACTTTTATGCAAAATATTAACTTACAGTAACATTTGCTCCTAAATCATTTGTATTGATGAATGACAGACCATTCAGTCTGTCATGGCTGTTACCAACATAAGGTATCAAGCGCTTGACATCATTTAAAATCCTAGGCGACAATTTCCTTCCAAAAGATAAATGATGTATGACATGCGACATGTTCATTTGAGAAGCATCAAAGGAATGGCTATCAGATCTTGCTGAGACGAACAAGCTTCCTGGAACCTGCAGAGTGTAAAACAGCTTACTATTCAGCATAATATTCAAAATACAGAGAAAAAGAATAGGATGTCATATTCCTTATATCATTTATTTCTACTGTTATAATATTGACAACTAAGGCCTCGATTAAAAGGAAAAAAACAAATTTAAAACAAGAGCAATGTAAAGAATCTTGGTTCATGCTCACATTCAAAAACTAGGAAGCACAAAGGAGTTTTCCACACTACACTAGAAGATTAATTTTATCCCTGGGGGAGTTTACCTTCTTCACACGTACATATCCTTCAATTCTACATCCCCCACCTGATGGTGCTGGTATTTTTGCATTCTCTGTAACATTTAATTTATCCTCCAAAGCTAGCTTCTGAGAAGGGAGAGAGGCCACTACATTCTCCATTGTCTGCAGTAGAGACACTTAATAAAAGGAATGTTGCACTCTAATGATAAATAGTGATGTTGAATTACACAAAGTATACACACTTCAAACCAAAGTTGATTCAAAACAGGCTAATGTAAATTAAATATAACTTGTACCTTAACAAGGGTATCTGTATCACGATCTCCATAATATGACTCATGATCATGATGTCCATGGTCACTTCTGAAAAATAAAAACTAAATATATTCAGAGATCCGGAACTTTAGAAACCCAATCAAAGACCGAATTGGTAAAATATTCAGGATGCAACTCTAAAGATATTAATCATATAGAATTTATACAAATAAATACAAAGGTGAACTACGTATTGAAATAGAATTGTTGTGGCCTATCAAATTGATTCGTTGGCAAGTTCGTGGAGGAATCAAATTGCATCCTGACATCCTCCGACTGTCTCTGTCACTACTATTGGCATTTGATCATCACTCCCATTCTAAACATGGTTTTGAAAAATTGATCATTCCCTTGATTTTTTGAATTTCAAAAGTAACTTATATCATTCTTGTGGGAAAATGTAGTATATTTAAGAAAATAAAAAGCACGCAATATCCAAAAAGGACAAGCAGATGAGTAGGTAGTGATTCTTTCCTATATATAAAAGATTTTCCTATGTTACCTGACATCACTTCCTTTACGAAAGATACGAATGGATGGATACCCTTGTATGTGATGCCTGGATATCGGTAACAAGATACAAAAAAATATTAGTGAAATAAGAGGCACGGATGGAAAATGATAAGAGAAAAACAACAAAGTTAGCAAGTGACAACAGAAAATATCAAATTACAATGAAGAAGATGCACTTCCAATAATGCTCTACTAACTGTTAAAGCTAATCTCCATCTTCACAGTAAGCTAAGCTTATATCAAATCATGACAACTATTTGTGACAACACATAATTTGGAAATGGTTGAAACTTCCTGGAAGTAACTCCTATATGCAATGAAATAATTCATCACATAGTATGGTCCCAGGATTGAGTATCTTCCAAAGCTAAAGGACAAAACAACTTGCATTTCTAGTATATCCAATTTCTGGTAAAACTCAAATAAGTAGTTTCAGCTGTTTCAATTGATGTCTTTCTTATGAAATATTTGGTGTATGAAAGACAGTTTACGAAGACCAATACTTTGTTTGTAAGAGGTGAAGGAGAGGAGAAAGTGATTTCGGAGCAACGATAAGAGTCAAGATTAAAATCATGCTACCTTGTTTGAAAATTAAAAAAAAAAAAAAAGGAAATATAGGAGCAATTAAAATAAATCTCTCTGCAAGTGGATTAATAAGCTAATGGAGAAAGGTTTAACAACTAAGAATTTGGCATATTACTAGAATTACAAATTTTGCAAGTGTTGCAATGAAGAATGATCATAAATTTCTGGCTATTGTTGCAAATTTCGCAAGCAAAAAAGGAAATTGTTCAAAAAACATAAGAAAAGGGCACCTCCGACACAAGTCTGCTTCTTGAGTGCAATCTACCTTCCCCAAAAGTATTCGGCCATCCATTTCCGGATCATATCTAAATAAAAATGGAATTGTACAAACAAGACACTGAGTTAGTGAAGTGATGCCAAGTTAGTTACTAAGTTTATGAAAGAGATAAAAAAGGTAGAATTTCCAATCCCAGTTTCTAGGAAATAAGAAAAACACAAAAAAAAATGTAAGAGTACCTCTCCCTTAATATTTTAGCCGCCTTCTCCCATGAAGGTTTCTGAAAGAAAGGAGATAAAAGAATGATATATAAACAACCATCTTCAACCATTATGCAGAAGAGAGTGAAAGGAAACAGATAAAAGAGTAATATATGCATAAACACCTTAAACCATTACATATGAAATCCACTTTCGAGCATTGTATATTCATTGGAAGAAACCTTATTTCCATAAAAAGAGAGAAAAATAATGTTGCAAGGACAAGTGAAGAAACCTTAGTTCAAATCATAAATTTGCAGAAGTTTTCACTAAGTCATTGTGGGGTCCTGATACAAGCTACATTTGTATCAACCTTGGTCCATATGATATAACAGTTCATCATATACTTTTGTTTCTCTTATCTTTCAAATTCACTTTTTCTTATATTAAAAGATATACAATAAAGTTACCCAGTAATGTCTACATCTTGCTTTTAGGCATCCAAGCCAATTTTTTGGCTACAAGTCATAAATCCTACATTATCTCATGAAATTCACAAAAGGAATAAGAAATTGTTGATTGTAGAAAAATAGAAGTAAATGTAAAATTGGACAATAATAAAGATATTAGGAACCATCTTATTTGTTAAACTGAGGAGGAAGAAAGAAATGGAGATGAAATACTTACCAGGCGTTGACTCCAGTAACACCAAGGAGCATAAAAATTCACAGCTGTAATTGGAAATCTGCCAGTGTAAACAATGTGCAACTATTATACAATTGGAGAGACAAGAGGAAAATAACTCTTCAACTCTCACATAACTGAAACTCTAAAAATTAAATGAATGAACTGAACTAGATGATTGACCCACTTACTGATGAGAATATTTATCAAAATTTTCTGATGTGAATACAAAAGCACCTTCAACAGACTCCTCGTCCAATTTATCATCATGCTTAATGACATTAGCAGCCGGGCTAGAATAAAATTCAGATCCAGTGGTGGGTATTAAATTTGAATCAATAGAAAATTTGCGAATTGTTTTTGTCAGATTCAGCCTGCTCTGAAATCAAGAAGTCACAAATTAAGGGATAAGTGGCAAAAATAGAATATCAAAGAATCAAAGATAAGAAGGTATTATAGCATATAGACTAGGAAATCATAAAATGCATGAGAAGAGGAAGATTTTGTCATTTTTTAATATAAAGAATAGTACATGAATGAAGCACGGTATCCATATCAAAAGCACTTTGAATAATTCTATGCCATGGCCTCAAGCTTTTTTAAAGTCCATTAATGAACAATTGCTCCAAAGGTTAGAAGTAAGTAGCTGAATAAAACAAAAACTTTTTTTTCCAGAAGAACAAATATACAGTATTTTCTAGAGGTTATCTGCATTGCATTGAATGCAAGGAGGAAAGTAACTCATTCAATTATTTAAAAATCCTAAGTGAGCAAAATTGTACAATATTTTTTGCTAGAGATGGTCAGATGGAACAAATGGAATAATAGAAACTTACTGTTCCAAGCACATCGCTCACATCGACCGATGCAAACTCACATGAAAGTGCAGGAAAACTACAAACAAGATAAATTGAAGCCATCAGCAAGAAACAACTGAGAGAGAAAATGAGAGCTTACATATAGCCAAAATCGATTGGCACTTACTCAAAGAAATACTACAGTTGCTACATGAATTGATCAAGGAATTGAAAGTCGTAGAAAATAATCATGAAATATTGAAATATGAGGAACAAAATTATCGCCTTGTCAATCCTGGGCTTCATGCCAATTTCATGAATCATCACAATAGAGAAAACATAAAATCAGGGTTTTTAAGTGTTTTAACATCCCATCCACTATGTTAAAGTAACCTTGAAATTAAATACTTAGCATGTTATCCATCCTTTCATTTTTCTCAAAACCCTCTCTGGAAACATCATATTCAAATAAAGATCAAAATCTTGAACCTGAAATTGAAATCAATACGTAAAAAGTCCCCATCAGAACTCTTGTCAATGATCACGGATGTAGAGGTGCTGACAGATAAATACTCGCTAAGTTCCTGCAACAAGTTTGCAGGATATATATGAATATGCAATAAACTTTGACAAAACTAAATTCAGGCATAGAGAGTATATATCAATCCAAAGCAAATGCATGCATGCATTTGTTAAATGTCACAGACATAAAACAGAAGTTGTATAAGCTACTGACCATTCCAAATAAAAACACCATGGTGAGAGCAGCTACTATTGATAACCCAGCTCCAGATAATGATGCCTCAGTTAAATCTCTTGGGATTTTTCTGTTGACAGAAGACAAATGTTATATTTACGCATTCACAACCTATGAAGTTCGGACACCAGAAATACGACTACCGATAATAATTTGAATCACAAGTGTAACAATAAATACAAATATAAAAACCCTTAAGCCAAAGCATGATCCAAAACAACGTAATGAAAATGGAAAAGTCATGTTTCTGATCAAAGTATAACGGAAATAACGGTAATGCAACTGAAGATTCGCATGCAAAAACAAAACGATCCAAAAAATGCGAAAGAGAAAAGGGAAAAACAATAATGGTGATGGTGAAGAGAAGGAGATTTGATTGTGACCTGTAGAAATCGACAGATTTGATTCTGCCTGCGGTAATCATGGTTGCGAGAGAGTGAGATTTTCAGGAGAAACGAAAATGAAGATGAAGAATGAGAGAGAGAGAGAGAGAACTCAAATTTCAGGGATTGATATTTGAGTGGTGAATGTGAATGTTTTTGATGGATCGAAGGAGAAGAACGAGCTTTTTGTTCAAGTGTTAGTTAGCTTTTGCGTGAGTATGCAGACAGATACGCACTCGTGTTTTCTCTTTCCGTTTATGCACAAACATAAGTCGAGTACTTAATTAATTTATATAATCTATTTCTTACTATTCTTTTTTTTTATTTATTAGATTGCGGATTGCGTCCATTTAATATTTTTGTCTTACACTTTTTCTTTTTGTGTGTACTAATTAAAAAAATTCTTAATTCACCTTAGATTTTTAGAAGTGTGGAGTATGACTTATTTATAATGGAAACATTACTATGGGCCGAAATAAAAGAATTTATAGTCATAGGAATAAATATAATTGGCTAAAATGTGTTAATAAAGATAGATGATTTTTATTGTTTCTTACTTTCGTTTCTCTTTATTCTTCTATCATAATCATTGATTTTACAATTGATATTTTATGGTGATTAACGTTGGTGCGAAATTCAAAGTAACAAGGTTTGATGGAATAGATGATTTTAGATTATGGCAAAAGGGGAGTTAATGATCTATTGGTTTAGCAAAATTTATAGAAAGTGTTGTGTGAGAAGAAACTGAATGATGTGAAGGCTATTGATTGGACTAAGATGAAGGAGAATAACGCGTGCATGATTTGCCTATGTGTTTTAGACTAGATAATGTATCATATCTTGGACCTAACAACACCGAAGGATGTCTGAGACAAATTTGAGAGTCACTATATAATAAAGACGTTGATGAACAAATTGTTCGTGAAAAGGTAATTATAGAGTCTGAAAATACAAGAAGGGTCTAATTTACAATAACATGCCAATATTTTCAACAACATAATCACCAATCTGATGAGGCTTGGGGTGAAGATTAATGACGAAGATAAGACAATTATCTTGTTGTGCTCGTTACCAGGTTCTTATGACTATTTGGTGACTACTCTTACCTACAGAAAATACACTATCAATCTTAATGTGATTACTGCTACCCTTTGTCTCATTCTCAAAGGAGACAAAACATAGAGGAAGGAACTCGAAGCGACAGTCTATATATGAAAGAGGTTCAAGATCGTGGATGGAACAAAGGTGTTGTACCCTAAAATTTTCCCTCTCTTTTCTCAAGACATTTCTCACAAAGATTTTCAAAAGCTCAAGTTTGCATAAGTACAATTGGAATTTTAATGCCCCATATAGTTTCTATGGATCATATTGGATTTTCAAGCATCAGGTCGAAGATGGAACTTCTGAATCTTTGAAAGGAGGAAGAGGAAACTGTCGAAAGGGAAAAGCAGATAAAAGAAAAAGTGTGCAGTTGCAGATAACTAAGTCATATTCAAAATCTGGTTCAGTTTGTTCGAATTACATGACTGGTCGAAATGAGTGGTTGGCAAATTTTGACAAATCGAAGAAGAGCAAAGTAAAACTGGCTGTTCGAACTACATGACTGATCGAAAGGAGTGGTTGGTAGATTTTGACAAGTCGAAGAAGAGAAAGCCTGCTTCGATCCCCAAGCTTCGACTGGGCAATGGCTTCCTTCGAGTAACCTGCTTCGATCCACCTCTAAACCCTTCGACACACATAGTTTTGACACTATGGGTTACAAGTCTATCTTCATACTTGCTTCAATCCACAAACTTCGACTGGGCAATGGCTTCCTTCGAGCAACTTGCTTCGATCTACCTCTAAACCCTTCGACACACATAATTTCTACACTATGAATTACAATTTGAGGTTTAGACATTTGAACTTTCGACCACTTAATCAACTGATGGTTACTGGTAGAAAAGCAATCCAGAAATTCTTTCGTTTCGACTATGTCAATGAGATCATCTTGTATACTCAAAGTGATACATTCAGATGAATGTTGGTCCATTCGAAGAACATACAAATTGGTGGAAACAAATATTGTTTTGTATGTTGATGAGTTTGGTCGAAGGTTCAGATGAATGTGGTCCATTCTAAGAACATACAATTGGTGGAAACAAATATTGTTTTGTCTGTTGATGAGTTTGGTCAAAGGTTCAGATGAATGTGGTCCATTCGAAGAACATAAAATTGGTGGAAACAAATACTGTTTTGTCTATTGATGAGTTTGGTCGAAGGTTGTGGATCTATGTGATCAAAATGAAAGGATGAAATATTCGACATCTTTTAGAGATTCAAGATACTTGCTGAACAAAGTCCTATATGCTGCCAAGCCCAAGCTTGTTGTACTGTCCACATAACAGCCTAAAACCATGTCAAAAAACAGTTTGTTATACTACTATGAAACAACCCTACACCAAGTTGCGACAACACTCCAAAACTGCTGCAAAACAGTCCTGCTATGCTGCTCCTAATCCAGTCCAAGCTTGCATTATCTCAGCCCTATATTTGCACAAAATTAGCATATAAGAGCTGCACCTCAAAAGCTACGAAAAGAGCATACCCAAACAGTTCAAATTTTTATTTGTTTTTCCCAAAAAAAAAACCAGCAAGACTCTTCTATAAATAAGTTGTTTCACAATACACAAAGGGGGCTTTTGGAAAGGAAAAAGGAGAAGAAAAAAGAGAGAGGAAAGAACACGAAGTCTGAAGTCTTAAAACACTCTTAAACCCAGAACCAAAAAAAACACAACACCTTTGTTCTTTTCTTTCGAACCCAAGAACATTCAAAGCAGCAACTCAAGTTCCAAACACAAATTCCAGCTTCAAGGTAAGTCTTCTTGACTTTAAACCCTTCGTTTCAAGCATCATTGATGATTCATCTTCGAAGATAACATGTAATAATCATTGTCTTTGAAGCTACCCTTTTGTTTGTTTTCCTTTCTTATCAATTATATGTTAAGAACTAACCCGTATAGACCATAAAACAATGTTGGAGAAAAAATTACAACATGATTCGACACAAAGCCTTAGGCTTCGATCCATACTGCTTTACAGGCCCAAACAAAAGGGGAAAACGGTGTGTGATTCGACACATAACATTATGCTTCGATTTGGAATTACATAGTCGAAAGAAGGATATGCTTTGATGCATATAAGCATGCTACGACACATGCTTCGACACATAACATTATGCTTCAATTTGGAATTACAGGGTCGAAAGAAGGATATGCTTCTATGCATATAAGCATGCTTAGACACATGATGTCGAAAGATTTGTTTTTTTTTCTCTTTTGTGCTATTTTTTTATACATATTTCATATGTTTGCTTCATAGCTATGCAATGTGTTTTGTAATAGATAATCAGGTTTAATTTCTTTCAATCCCCATTTGTACATTTGTATCCCCCATCCCCTAATGATGTAATAGCTTAGGATTTTAATTTCCGCAATTTACCGCTTTAATATAAATTGTTAGTAATTAGGGTGTGTATGGAAAGATAAAATCAACCGTTAGAAAACCCTAATTTTAAAGACAAAAATGCATGCAATCAAACACACTATTCACACACGTGCACCTCTAGGGTAACCTCGCTTGTTGCCTCAGAAAATAGTCATGTCCCTCGAATATGGGCGTTTTTAGCAAAGACCCTCGATAAAAAAGATCGTAGTCCCTCGATGTTTCCTCCGGTAAACGATCTAGTCCCTTACGAAAATTGCTAAAACATCTCATAAGTTGCCTTCTATGACTATACGATTGACCCACGCCCGTCCCTTCACATCCAACGATAGGGCTTCTTACCAAATCAATGGTAAGATAGAAACATCTAAAGGAGGAGGAAAAGAAGATAGAACTTTTGAGTAGGTAGGACACTCGTAGTTGCTTGCTTGCAAACTAAATCCATTTCCACACTTACACTTTTAAAACATCTTTAAAAAACAAACATCTCTTTGAACTATTTTCAAAACCAACACTTTGTATACATTCTTATAGAGACGAGAATCATTATAAAGTTTGCTGAAACAAAGGCGTTTTCAAAATATTTTTAAACTTGCACCAAACAAAAACACATTTCAAACAAAGCAATTTCAAAAGTGATCTAGCAAGCAACTAAGAGCCCGTAGATAACTACGGATGAAAAGGATGCTAATACCTTCCCTTTTCATAACCTACCCCCCAAACTCAAGAAAAATTCTCAAGGGTCTTTCCTGTTCTTTTCACCCTTTCCTTTATTGGATAAAAGAAAAGTCGATGGCGACTCTTGCTATCCGCAACAATTGCGATAAAACGCAAAACAACCAAGTCAGTTCTCCCGTCGTATTACAGAACTGGCGACTCTGTTGGGGAATAATATTAAAAATGGGGTTACCTTAGAGCTAGATCACCTTTAAATTTCTTTCATTGTTTAATTTGTTTGCTTTACATTTACGGATCCTTGTTTGGGTTTGTTTTGATCCTCTACCCGGATCGGGGCACCTTTTAGGTAAGTAGCAATAGATCGTGGGGACTGTGCGGGGTATACCGACATGGTTGAAGCGATAGCTACGTTAGTGGGACGCATTTGTTGGTATTGGTAGCCCTTGAGTTTAGTCAAGGAGAATACGGGACCACTGTGTGGTTTTCATGAAGCACTAACTGACCTTAGAACCTTTAATTGAACAACTTGGCCATTAGGAAGTAGTGAGATAGTCGGCTTTGATGTAGTCTGGAGTTGGTTGATACTCGATACTACGTTTATTGAGATCAGACTTTTGGGATATTTCGGTCGCTAATAAAGAGGCTTACGCTGAAACAATGGCCGATGAAGAAAGATCAGTGATATTGAGATTCCCTAGAACCTAATTACTTTCTAGGATAGGTTGAACCAACTAAGCTTCAAGAGGATACTTACCTTTGACTCCATACAAGCCTAAACCTAAGAACTTGTCTGCTTTATGTGTATATGTTTATTTGTACATAACATCATGACATCATACCATATCATTTCCACTGACCATTTCAAGGATCTAAAAGAGCT